AACGAGCTGCTCGCGTCGCTACTTGTGCCGTTATTCTTTACGTTCATCGTATCCTTCTGCGGTGTGGTCGTGCCATACAATGCGCTACCCTCGTTCTGGTAAGGAATATCTACAGATCGATGTGAAATATGTACTAACTACGAGCGCAGGCAAAGCTGGATGTATTGGCTTACTCCCTTCAAGTACCTGCTTGAAGGATTCCTTGCGCTACTCGTCCAAGGTCAAACCATCCGATGCGAGACTAAAGAGATGGCGATCTTTCCACCCCCACCTGGCCAAGACTGTCAGACATACGCCGGCCAATTCGCGCAGCAAGCAGGGGGCTACGTCGAAGCCCAGCCGGACGGGAACTGTGGGTTCTGTCAGTACGCAACTGGAGAAGCCTTCCTGGCATCCTTCAACGTGTTCCCACAGTACATATGGCGTGACTTCGGCATTATGTGGGCGTATATTTTCTTCAACTTTTCCGTCGTCTTCATCTGCACTTGGCTGTACTTGGGTGGCCTACGCCAGATCAAGTCTTTCTTCAGCCCGGCCGCGCGCAAACAAAAGAAAGAGGCAAAGCAAAAGCAGAGCGGAGATGCAGCTTGATACAGAGATTTCAAAGATAGCAGATATTCGGCACAGTGTGCAGCGACATGCTTCGACGTCGACTGCGAAGACGCGGGTTCCGGAAAACTCCTAGCCTGCCCGCGGCCGGAACGCGCAAGGCTGGGAGACGCAGCTTTGGGACGGCCCATCCCAGCGCAGTGTGGGGCTCATTTCCGCCTCGTGCATTCCCCGCGAAATGCCTCTTGGGGATCTAGAGCATGTGCTAGAGTTTCTCTGTACGTACAGGCTTGGTTCTAGCGTCCACCATAGTGACCCGTATAGTCAGCGGTGTAGCATTAATAGTAATTTTGACAGCGCAGCTGTCATGTGTACAGGTCCAGTAGCTTCCACTGTGCATTTGACGTGTGAGTTATCATGGATGTGCTGGTCTCCGTCGTAGCTGTCGAGCCATGCGCGATTAACAAGACCGCTCACACGATATGCTCGGCACTTTGACACATGCAAACCCAATCTTGCAGGTATCGGGTTAACAAGGCATCGTGAGAAGCATCGAAATGCCTCAGCTTTTCCGATGGGCAGCGCCGCCCGTCCGAGGCCCTTGATTTGTGCATCGTGAAATCGAAGGACTAAGCCGAACGGCGTTCCATCATAGTGCAGGGGTCTGTGTGGATCGCAAACTGCACACGAGCTGGAACCGGAACTGTGGTATCTTTGCACCGCCTCCTGTGGCCGAGCTATGCTGTCGACTATTGATTGTCGCGATGCGCAATATTGACGCGCATGTACTGATTGTGGTATGAGGCATTTCGTACTGTTCGTTCATGGCCGCTCTAGTCACCCTCCTAAACCATACCGAGGTCTACCATCAATAGCACAGCTTCTCCGGCGAGAAATAGGCCAAGAGTGGTTATAGCCGAAATGTTCGTAATGTGGCCCAATGAAACAATGACGAAAGGTCGTTGAGCCTTTACCGCTTGCAGCGAGCGTGAATGTGGGGTAAGTGCGATCAGCCCCTCCAGCCAATACCGACGCGCGCATTGCCGTTCACGCAGCTGTAGCAATCGTCACGAGGGCTCCGGTACTGCGAAAAGTCGTCGACCATGACACAACCGTGACCGCAGACCTCATCTTAGTCCTAGCTAGAGAAGAATAGAATTTGCCATTCCATGCGCGTCGTCGGCCTAAGCTTTGGCAGCCATAAAGCTGGGTGTCGTGGTTACACTTGCCGGGCGCTCCTTCCGAAGTCACCCAGCCCTCGTGCCCAGCTCCGCGTTATTTTCGTCCCTCGTGAGCCGACCGGCACTCCCACTACCCAAACACGCGCCATTACCCAATCAGCGACAGTAGCGCTAGCTTGTCCCCGGCCCAGCAGTGCCAGCCTGAGCGCAGACGACGTCGTCAGAATGGCTTCGAGTGGTATTAAAGCTGCCTCGGACCCCGTTGTTAGAACTGCATCCCCAGCTCCTTTGGCCCAAGACTTTGCCCGTCAACAGGTGTCAAAACAACAGCGTTCTAATTTCCATTCCTCTTCCATCTCTCCACTCATATCCTACACCATGGTTTCTCAAAGCGTCAACAAGACCAATCTCCACCCTTCCGGCGTTGCGTGAGTGCCATCCTTTCTCTGACCTCAGGTCAATTGAGTTGGATTAAACTAACAACTATCTCAAGGCCGAACAAGGAACACACGGAGATTGAAGAGTCCCTCCACGACAAGGCACACATCGACTATGACCGTGTAGCCATTGTAAGCTTACCTGGGCGTACAAACCTCAACTCCAATACTAACCATGCCAGATCGCCAACCCTTCAGTCGCTGCCCTCTACGAAGATGCGCTCGTATACGAGACCGGCTCAGCCATCACAGCCTCAGGCGCACTCTCAGCATACTCAGGAGCCAAGACCGGCCGCTCACCCTCGGACAAGCGCATCGTCGAGGAGGACTCGTCAAAAGACGACGTCTGGTGGGGTCCAGTGAACAAGCCGATGAAGGCCGACGTAAGTCTTCTCCGCATTTCCTACGCATTAAACTTTTGTCTACGTCAAACCGCGGAATTGGCTTGTGAAATTTTGGCGGCAGACGTCATGTACGCTAGGCGCATACCCGATGGAGTTCGCATCCCTGCACGTGGCGCGGTTCTGGGGCTCGGCTGCCCCGCATCGCGCCTGCATGACGGATCAACTTCCATCGATCCATCTGGAATATCATCACGTGCGCATCTTGAACTCTTGCTGACATCCCATCCAGGTCTGGCGTATCAACCGTGAGCGTGCCATCGACTACCTCAACACCAGGAACCGCATCTACGTCGTCGATGGCTTCGCCGGCTGGGACAAGCGCTACAGGATTCGCGTTCGTGTCGTCTGCGCTCGTGCCTACCATGCTCTCTTCATGCGCAACATGTTGATTCGCCCTTCAAGGGAAGAGCTGGAACACTTCGAGCCTGACTACACTATCTACAATGCCGGTGCTTTCCCTGCCAACAGGTACACCAGCGGTATGACCTCGTCAACGTCCGTCGCCCTCAACTTCGCCGACAAGGAGATGGTTATTCTCGGTACCGAGTACGCTGGTGAGATGAAGGTCAGTCCCAAGTGTACGAAGTGCATGTGAGACAAATGCTGACTTCGTACCTCCACCTCTGCAGAAGGGCATCTTCACTGTTCTCTACTACGAGATGCCTGTCAAGCACAACGTCCTGACTCTTCACTCTTCCGCAAACGAGGGTATCAAGAACGGCGATGTCACTGTTTTCTTCGGTCTCTCCGGAACTGGCAAGACCACCTTGTCTGCCGACCCCAAGCGCGCCTTGATCGGTGACGACGAGCACTGCTGGAGCGACACTGGTGTCTTCAACATCGAGGGTGGCTGCTACGCCAAGTGCATCGGTCTCTCTGCCGAGAAGGAGCCGGATATCTACGGCGCCATTCGCTTCGGATCGATCCTCGAGAACGTCGTCTTCGACCCAGTAACCCGTGTTGTTGACTACGACGACGACACCCTGACCGAGAACACCCGCTGCGCCTACCCCATCGAATACATTGAGAACACCAAGATTCCCTGCATCTCAGAAGGCCACCCAAAGAACATTGTTCTCCTCACCTGCGACGCTCGCGGTGTCCTTCCTCCCATCTCCAAGCTCAGCCCCGAGCAGACCATGTACCACTTCATCTCCGGTTACACCTCCAAGATGGCCGGTACTGAGCAGGGTATCACCGAGCCCCAGGCTACCTTCTCTTCTTGCTTCGCCCAGCCCTTCCTCGCACTCCACCCCATGCGCTACGCCAAGATGCTCGCGGAGAAGATCCAACAACACGGCGCCAATGCCTGGCTCCTCAACACCGGCTGGGTCGGTGCCGGTGCTACCACCGGTGGCAAGGTAAGACAATCCTGCAACAATATCCATTCAAAACACATGCTAACTATTTCCACAGCGCTGCCCCCTCAAGTACACCCGCGCCATCCTCGACGCCATCCACTCCGGCGAGCTCGCCAACGTCGAATACGAGACCTACGAAACCTTCGGCCTCTCCGTCCCCAAGACCTGCCCCAACGTCCCCGACGAGCTCCTCAACCCCGCCAAGTCGTGGAACGGCACCGCCGACTTCAAGGGCGAAGTCGAGAAGCTCGGCAAGCTCTTCATGGAGAACTTCAAGAAGTACGAAGACCAAGCCACCAAGGAGGTCATCGAGAGTGGTCCACACGTATGCTGCTGCCCCAAGCACTAGACGGTTGTTTTCGGTTTCCGACATACCTTTCTTACTCTTTTGACAGACTGACTAGCGGATTTCCACTTCGATGTTACTTTCTCCTTTACGTTACAATCGAGCGGTCGAGCGGGTACCCTCCATCGACGTCAGCGACTGTGCTTTCCTCTTTCTTTTTTGATTGGATGGTTGTAGGCATGCTATGTGCCTGCAGACGGGATTTGATATGATATCATGGCTTTATCTCTTTACTTTGCTAGATGCGTCTTATGAGCGCTTTGTTGCGTGTACATACACTTTTGGCGTTGGGTCCAGCTGAGCATTTCATGGCAGAAGACGAGAACGTAGCATAGCTGCTGTTGGAAGAGGAGAGAGAGAGAGAGAGAGACAAAGTTATCATCATGTTCATCGAAGCGGTGTTCATTATGGTATAGGTGTGATTGAGGCTGTACCACTCTCGGAAGATACTTGGACCGCTTTCGGAAGGTATCTGTCGAGAGTGGTACATCCTTGTTCCACATTTATACCATAATGTATAGAGCTTTTGATGAAAGAATGGATCTTTTCAATCAAACACATTTACCGATGCTCTCTGTCTCAGTGGCGTGAGGGTATCAAACTGTTGACTTCGTGCTCTTGCCACTACTATTCGTTACTGCTATCTCAGTACAAGCCATTCCAACCCCCTTCCAACCATTCCCATCTATCCCCCATCTCCCACATCCCTAACACACCACCCCTCACAAAACCGCCTCATCCATATTCCTAATCCACCCCCACATCCACATGACCGTATCCAAATGCGCCTGCACCCCCACCCTCTCATCCACCGTATGAATATTCCCCAAGCCAACCTGCTCCCTATCCCAACCCGGTCCATACCTAAAGATATTCTCGCTCAAATCCCAATAGTAGCGCGTATCCGTATTTCCAGTCATGATACCCGGACTCACAAGCAAATCTTTTCCGTAGAGGGCACGGGTTGTGCCGGACAGGATCTGGTAGGGCGTTGCGGTTTTGTTTGTGTGTGAGGTTGATTCCAAGGATGTGGGTGTGACGGGCGCCGGTTCTAGCATGGTGGGGCCGTGGGAGAGGGTTATACTAGAGGGGGTCTCGGTGCCGTTGAAGGCGTGGAGGGTGAGGTTGTGCTTTTGGGCTACTTGGGCGGCGAGGGACGCGATGTGCGTTTTCACGGCTGAGGAGCTGGAACCGACGTTTATACGGTGGTTTACTGTGATTTGGGTTCGTTCGGGCAGCGCGTTTGTTTTGACGCCGCCATGGATGATGTCGACGGCTACGGAGGTTGTGAAGAGGTATTTTATTCCTGGACCTGCTTTTGCTGCTTCAAGGGCAAGGGCGTCCTTGGAGGACTTCTTAGTGCACGTTAGACTGCGTTTGAAGCGCTTGTCGAGGAGTTTGCTGAGGTGGTGCGGGAAGTCTGGCGCGTGGGAGGCGCCGCATTGGAGGAGGCCTAGGTATGGGTTCTCGTCTGCGAGGTGCGGCTCGTAAGCGTTTGCTTCGATTAGGGTGATGAGCTCGCTGGCTACGCCGATGCCGTTGTGTGCGGGTGGGATACTGCTGTGGCCGCCGGGCATACGCACAACGATGTCGACGTCAATGTAGCCTTTCTCGGCGACACCGGGGATGGCGAAGTTTGCACCCCAGCTTTCGACGTTTACGGCGCCTTCGTCGATGATGGCGGCGATGGAGTTGTGGCCGAGCTTCTGTAATAGGTACTCTGAGAGATGGCCTGCGCCTTCTCGACCAGATATCTCCTCGTCGAAGCCAAACGACAGGATCAAAGTTCGCTGAGGAGCAAAACCAGCAGAGATCAACGCCTCGACGCTGTTCAGAATAGCCAGCAACTGGTTCTTGCAGTCGCTCGCACCCCTGCCCCAAACAAACTTCCCATCATAATGACCAGAAAACGGGGGATACGTCCATTGCTTAACCGTAGAGTCAGGAACAGGCACAACGTCCTGATGCGCCATGAGCAGATTAGGCTTCAAGCTCGCGTCCGTGCCAGCCCACGTATACAGCAAGCCATGCGTGTTGACCTTGTCCAACTGCAATGTCGCATGCGTCAACGGGAAAGTGTTCTCAAGGTAGTCGGCAAAAGAGTACATAATGTCCCAGCGCGGGTCAGATCCAATTTCGCCCATATCGTCGTAGCTTTGCGTGGGGATCTTGACGGCGCCTGATAGGCGCTCGATTGCAACGTCTCGGAAAGGATCGGACGTCAGGTAACTTTCCATCTCATCCAACTCTTTCGTCTTCCTCGCTGGGAACAGGGGTTCGACCTGAGGACATTGCGCTTTCGAATTGGCATCGCCTGAACGGGATGGAAGCTGCCATGGCGATGATACAGGAACGGTGATATGACGTAAGAAAGCCAAACCCGCTAAGCAAAACAAAGCGCTTCCAACGAATTGACGGTAGTAAGAGCGACTACACTGCTTCGACGGAACTGGAACAGGCGTCTGCTTTCCCCAATTCTTGCCCGCCATGGTGATGCTTGGTTGATGGTTAGAGTCTTGGTGTGTCTTAGTTATCGGATGTTGCGCGGGGATAAGTGGTGAGTACGTTTGCGACTAGTCTCAATCAGGAAGGTATGTACATGGCTTTGTCAGTATTTATCGGATCGACGAGATAATCGTATCTACGTCGCTGTTTGTTTGTTGTGTATGTCGGATAATTATCCGACGAACGTTCACTTATCGGACGGTAGGGAGGTCGTTGTGCGTGCGTGGTATTTTCGGAGTTAGAGCCCACTTCTGAAGAAGACGCCGTTTTCTCTTATGGTCTATATTGGCAGTCCTGCTTCACAGCTAATTACTAGCTAGTCGTTCGATCAGAGACACTCCATATCCAAATTCGTCGCCATAGACTGCTACAATGAACCCTCTGGCCACTCGTACTCCGGCCACGGGAAATCTGGATCGTACTTCTGCTGAAGTACAACGCTTCCCGCCGGGAACGTCTTCCGTGAGCCGTCAGGCATATCCACCGGCTGCGCCTCATCAACAAAGGTCCACGCTGCGAGTAGACCAGCAGCCCGCGCAATCTCGTCCTTGAGCTTCCCAAGCTTATCTGGCTGAGGAGAGAAGTTCTCAAGCAGAGCTTTCTCCCTAGTCTCCTCGAATTCACCCGGTCCAGCCGTCACTTCCACGTCTTGATCACGCTGTTGCTCTTTCATATCCATCCCACCGCAATCCGATACCAAGGGCTGAAAGAAATCATTCTTCAGCGGTCGCTCCACTTCAGCATTGTCCAGATCCTCGTCGATGTCGATATTGGCAATCTCGTAGTTGATATACGTCAGAGCTAAGCATTCCGTCTTCACAAGGAGCTTCACGACCACTTGTGTACTTTCTGCTTGTCCCTCTTCCACCATTTCGTCGTCGGCAAAGGCATCCACGTACCAGACTGCACCCCTCTTCCCTGCATCTTCGTCAATGACGACGAATGGAGATTCTCGGCCTGCTTCGTTTTCTTTGGCGCGCATATATTGATGGGATTTGCCGATGTAATCATCGGGAGGTCTTATGATCTTGAGCTCGAGCAGGGGCTGGAATGGAGAGCAGGCGCCGAGTTCAAATTCTGCCTTGACATTTGCTAGCTCGTTGTCGTTCAATGAAGCCAGGAGATATGCTGTGAGGCATGTGACATCGAAGGGAGGCGAAATGAATACCATGATGATCGTGAGTTTGGTAATAGCAGAAGGGGTTGAATGTGAGCATTACAAAGGGTTGGTATTCCTGGCTGTTTATATGTGATGCATACTGCGTGGTGGTCCTCGCGTTGCCAAAGACATTGTGCTCGGCCATGCAGGAGACCAACGATTGGCTACAGTTACGCTCGCGCAGGCAGCAATATTGTTGAGGGCCCTGCATTTAGCGGCTCGACTTAGCTTGAGATCGACCCTGCCGATCTGGAAACGTTAGGCTCTTCAGCAATGCACTCCAAGGCTAACACGATCATGCCGCACACCGAAGTAGAACTCCAACAACTGGCACGACGCAAGGTCAAGCTCCACTTCGAATCAAAGGTGCCTACTCTTCTTGATTTGGGGTGTTTCTAGGCAGATCACGAGGCGTATCGTGACTCCAAAACTTACGTCGCATTTAGCCTCCTTGACAAGATCTTCATTGTACCCGATGCTGACCTCTGTCGTGGCAGTGGATGCGTCGTCGCATGTCCTCTCAGATTGAAACGAGCATACCCGATACGTAAAGAGCACAGGGTGGCGAGAAGTACGAGACACCTATCATCGCCCATCCCGCAAAGCCTATACCCGTGTCAATACAATACCTAAGTCCCGAACACTATCAGCGCACTCTCATCCGGCGAAGGACCTATATCCGGCCAAATTTCCGTCTGGCACCCAGCTGTCCTCCGAGCCATATCCCTCTCCAAGAAATTCGCCAACTCCAAACTATCCCAAAGAATCTCTCTCCTCCTCCGCGACCGCAGCATACTAATAATCCTCCGCCGCACTGCCACATCAGTGCAGAAAACATAGAGCTGGAACAACGCCGTGGTGAGATCCGTTTTGAGTCCGAACAGTGGTTGTTTCGACTTACTCCACAAGTGATCGAGGTCGTCGAGTAGGAGACTGCATTCTACAGCGTCGAGGTGGCTTGTGGGCTGGTTGTCGCAATCGACTGCAGGGCTTTCCTCGGCTAGTAGCAACTCCCAGAGTTTGTACTGAATTTTCAGATTGATAATTCTTTCTAGGTTTCTTCCGTATTCGGCTGTGCCTACTAGGGCCTTCACCATGGCCCGGAATTGTATATCCCATACTCGCAATCGTTGTCGTAGTATTGCCCATTGCTTTTCGCACTCGGAGTTGTTATGGTCCTGATCCTGCTCCAAGTCCCACGAGATGTGCGTGACGACATCATCGAACGTGTTCATCACATCTTCCGCCTCGACGAGATCCCGAAGCTTTCCAGCAGGTTTGTAGTACTTCTTTTTCGGGGCCATGAATGGCGTGATGTTTGCGAATATACGGTTTGGGGAGAAGAGGCCGACTTGGCTACCAATGGCGTGGAATATGGCTGCCAGTTCCTCGATATCATGGTTAGGTAGGTATGTGATGGGTTTGTGGTTCGCAATGAGTTCTGTCCCAGACCTGATGTGCCGAATCGCCTCGCTGAAGTTGCCGCGAAGGCTCTCGAGAATGGCAAACAAGACGCAACATGTCAGGATAGTGACTAGATCGGTTGGGGAATCGTTCGCGATGCCTCTTCCGTGTATCAGACCAGATATGGCACCGTTGTAGTGCGACAGGGTAAAAGCTTCAAGACTTGATGGTTTGTCCTGGTCGCATGTTGTGAATTGCCAATGGACGGCGCCAAGAGCCATGACTGCATGTCGTACACACGAGACGTTTTGGCTAGGGCCCTGGAAGGCCTTTTGCCAGAAGTTCTTGTTCAAAGATTCAGATATCTCCATGTCGTGAATCGTGTTGGTGAAGAAGTGAGTGTAGTAGTAGGTTTCCAAGGGATGGCCTGGTACCAACAACCTTCTGGGAAGATCGAAGATCGAAGATCCCCTTGAAGAGCAAACGGTTCGGATAGGCTTTGGTGCCAGCACTGGCGCGTTCGGGGTCTGCCATTTTTTCAGAGGCGCAGATGCGTAGCCATCGCAGACGAAGCTGGCTAAAGTGCATCTTTGACATGTGGGTTCAGTCTCGTCGCATTTCTTCCGTCTTTGCTTGCTGAGCGAATTAGGTAAACCAGGTATTACAGGGTGCAAAAAAACACAGTGCTAACCTACTAGGTAATACAGCCTATACGCGTCTTGTGGGAAAAGGCTCTAACCCTCTGTACGCCTAATAGTGGCTTTGTGTTTTGCATCGCGTATATGCAGAGAAAAGTGTACATACATTCTACTTTAATAGCTACCTAGGCAGAGATTAGCAGAACTAGGCTTTAGTCTAAGTTAAACGCGTATGTTCTGCACTGTTAATATAGAAACCTTTAATAGAAAATCTACTAGCCTATACGTAGTAAGCTAGAAACTTTAGTTACTACGCGTTAGGCAGCTTCGCTTAGAATATAATTAGCCTTCTATACGCGCAGACCTACTAACTACTATAACTAGACTAGTGTATAACTTACTAAGTAGCTTTAGAGCCTAAGAGGTAAGAACTTAGTATAGCTAAGAGCTATATTCTAAGTAAAGTATAGCTATACGCTAGTGTATACCTTTACTAGTATAATATATAGCGCTTATAGTATAAACTAGAAGTAATACTAATATTTTAAGTTATATTCTTTAGTAGCTCTAGAGTATTATCTTATAGTTAGATATATAAAGTTAGTTATTCTACTAATATAGTATAATATAAATAGTAAAATCTCTAGAGTATACTTTAAATATAGTAATTAGAAAATACTCTATATATATATAGAGCTTAGAAATTCTAAGATTTATATACTATATTAAAGTATAGCTAAAAGTAATATATATTAAAAGCGCGCTTAAAAGCTTTAGAATTTCTAAAGTTTTTAAATAGAAAACTATATAAAGTATACTTAGAAGCTTTAGAATCTTTATTATTTTTAGATAAGAAACTATATTTAAGATTTACTACCTAAAGTAAAGGTAGAATAAGTAGTAGATAATAAAAAGTATAGTAATAATAGTATTTATACTTATAAAAAGGCTTTTTTATTAGTATTCTAATAAATATATTCTTATATAATATTTACTTTAAGTAATATACTTCTTACTCTAGATATATCTTAGTTAATAAAAGTAAGACTTAGAATTACTAATAAATAAATCTTCTAATATCTATATTACTACTAAGTAACTCTTAGCTCTTTTTACTCTAATATCTTTATAACTTTATAGTAGTAGTTAGCTAAATATCTATATTCTTTACTATTAACTCTTTAGTAGAGTATAGAATTTAGTATATAATTAATATCTAGAGGTCTAAATTATAAAAGTCTAAACTAGAGTATATTATTATATACGTTACTTATTCTTATAATTAAAATAATAGTATTAGCTTTTATTTTACTATATATTTATATTATTATAATATTAGCTAATTAGACTAGCGCTTTTAGATATTTTAAGGTTATTAGTATAAAGGCTTAATTTAACTAAGTTACTACTATATCTCTTAAAATACTTTTTTTATATTAGCTTATATAGGCTATAGTAAGCTAAAGAGATATAGTATATATAATCTAATATTAAGCCTAATATCTAGCTAGTAAGACACTAAAATAATAGATATTTATAAAACTTTTCTATAAGATACTTTTAATTTATATATACCTAAGTCTATATAGATTATAGTATAAGTAGAGTAGAGGTATATTATATAAAAGAATAGAGATTCTAAGCTCTAGATATATATTATAGTTAAATATATAAGACTATATATCTTAGTCTCTAGTTATATCTATAACTAGATTAAAGTTTATATATATACGTAAATTAATAGTAAAAGATTAGAAGTACTAATAGTATTAGTTAGAATAGTAGAAATAACTACTACTATTCTTTTAGTAGTTATAGCTATTATAATAGTATACTTTATATACTTAAGGTAATATAAAAAAAAAATAGCTACTCTTATAAATATATATAAGAAGAGAAAATTATATTAGAGAAAGTAAGGCTTATATAGAAAAGTTATACTAGTAGTAATAATACACTTCTTACGTACTAAGAAAATAGAAAAAGAGTTCTTAGAATAGCTAAGAAAAATAAAGTTAGTAATTTATAAAACTAGAAATAGCTACTATAAACTTTAGTTAACTAGTAGTAGTATATACTTAGACTAGTTAGAGGTTACTATAGAATATAGAGATATTTTAGCTATATAGCCTAAAATTATATAGTTTTAGCGCTTAAATATAAAAGCGCTACTCTTAGAGAAGATAAAAGTATATATATTAGGCGTAGTTTATTAATATTATAATTTCTTAGACTTACTAAGATTCTACTCTATAGATTTATAAATATAGCTATAATATATTAAAAGCTACTTATAAAGTAGTATAAATAATATTTATAGAGTTAAGATAGAAGATACTATATAAAGTATATTAGCTTTTAAGATAGTAGTAATAGTATCTATATAGTAGATATTAGCTTAATATAGTTAGATAGCTTATAAATATAAAATAAAGTATAGAGATAAGAAAGTATTATAGAATTTAGATAGAGAATAAATATTATCTCTAAAGTATATATTATATAGTAGTATATATAGTATATATATAGTAGGTAAGATATATAGTTTATTTAGGTAAAAAAGTAAAAAAGAATAATAAAAAAAAATAAAAAGTAAATATTAGAGTAACTAGAGGTTAAAATATAGAAATAAGGTAAAAGTATATAAGAGAATAAAGATAGATTATTAGAGATAACTTTTAGATATATAAAGTAAAGAGTAGCTATATCTTAGTATTACTAGAATTATATAAAGTAGTAAATAGTAAAAGTAGATATAAAGCTAATATATAAAAAGCGCTAAGTAGCTATATTACTAGTAGAAGAATAGAGAGAGTAGAAGATAAAGCTTAGAATAAGTAGAGTATAGCTAAAGTAAAGCTACTAGTATAGTTACTAGTAGCTCTCTAGATAGAGCTTTAAAAATTCTAAGCTCTAAAATAAAAAGTATATATAGTAGAGAGATAATATATATCTTTTATCTAAGTTAATATATACTAAGTTATATAAGTAGTAATCTTTAGAAAAAAAGTTATCTATAAGTAATATATAAGTTATTTAGATAGTAATAACTTATATAGCTAATAAGTTTTATATAGCCTTTTAGTAATATAGATCTTTTACTATTAGATTCTTAAATATACTAACTAACTTCTATATTATATAGAGATCTTACTATAGAAGTAACTAAATATTAAAAAGAATATAATACGTAATATTAGTATTTATAATAGTTTACTATACACTTCTTAAGATTATATATAATATTTATACTTAAATTAATATATATTATAAGTAAAGTATAAGTAAATAAAAAGATTAATATAATATTATATTAGTAATTCTAATAATTTACTCTTTCTTCTCTAGTTATTCTACTATCTTTGCTTTATATACTCTAGATTAGGTAATAATTAGACTTATAACTCTTTCTCTAAATTATTAAAAACTTATAATGTCTTCTTATATTACCTACGCTAGTTAAAGATATTAAAGTTAAAGAGTAGTTATAATTAGCTAATTATAGATACGTAATTGCTTAGCTCTTAGATATATAGCTAGAGATTTTATTCTAACTTTCTTTTATAGTATAATAATTATAATATACTTAATAATCTTTAATTATTAATTATCTCTAGCTATAATAGTTATAAGTCTAGCTACTTAATTATAGAACTAATTTCTACTATATATTAAAGCTTACTAGAAGATAGATTAATTAATCTTATTTCTACTTTACTCTCTCTAAATATTCTATAATTAGAACTTCTTCTATATAATTACTTAATTACTATCTACCTCTTTATTTTTCTCTATATCTCTATATTAATTCTACGCTTTAACTCTATAAATATAAGTAATTATAATATAGCTATTATAGCTATAGATATACTTTTTAAAAAGTAATCTAACTAGAATATCTAGTTTACGCTTCTTAAGTAATACTATAATAAGAAAAGTATCTAGAAAGAGATTAATTCTAATCTTTTAGATATTAAATATATAGATACTTAGAAGCTTAAGTTTTTTAACTTTCTAGTTCTAGAGTCTATAGCTCTAGCTTCTCTTTTTATAGAGCTAACTAAAAATTAAAAGAATAAGTATAATAAAGCTATCTATAAGTATAATACTTTTTTATAAAATTATAACTATAAAACTAAAAATAGTACTATACTTATAGTCTACTAAAACTATAATTCTAAGTAGTAGTTAAGAAAAAGTAAGAAGATTAATAATATTAAGAACTAGATTATACGTACTATTACGTCTAAGTACTTATTACTTATAACTATAAGTAATAATAAAAGAATAGTCTAGTCTTTTATAAAGACTTTTAAAACTACGCTTACTTCTACTAATTAGACTATATAATATATAGTTTATATAAAGTATTATACTTATTTTAAAAAGACTTAAAAAAAAACTACTAAGAAGTAGTTTAATAACTAGCTAATAATCTACTAAAAAGTAAAGATTTTTAAGCTTTTAAAGGTTAAAGAACTTTTTATAATTACTAACTCTTTTACTATAGTTAAAAAGTTTAATTTTAAGTAAGCTTACTAGTAGTAATATAATTAATTATTTACTATAGCTTTTAAAAAGAATATATTAAGCCTTAGTAATTTTAGTAAAGTATTTAGTATTATTTTTTAAAAGATATTAATTACTACTAAAAAGAGAAAAGCTAATATAATTTTTAACGCTATTATAGGTTAATCTTCTACTTCTACTAAGTTAGGTAAAAAGTAGTTAAG